AAACGTGATTTCTTCCCTCCTACATGCTCCAAATACTCCAACGATTAAGACAACTTTAGCTAACAGGAATTCTTTGTCGTCGGCTTCTTTCATAAAGCGTTCTGTTTCCAGTTTTGTAAATATTTTTAATTTCTTTGCCTGATATCCGGAAGCTTTTCTTTTTAAAAATGCAATAAGGTTAGTGAATTTTCTAATACCTACGTTTCTGTTCAGGTAAATCATGGTGCGGGGCATCGAATATTTACTCCATAGAGTTGACGGCTTTAAGGTAGTGGATGACTTCAAAAAATAGGCTAAGTTTTTCGACTTCTCGGGCACTAACGTGAATAGCGCAGTTTCAGCAGCTTGTTGAATATCCAAAGACTCGTCATTATCACTCATTTTTTCACAAAACTTTGTAGGAAATACGGCGACGTTTGAACCTGACAGAACGATGTCATTAAACAATGCATAAACAATGCCTTAGAAATCGATTACCGGAACATTTTAAAAAATGTTTAAAAATAAATAATAATAATAGCATGAAAATCTCAAATTATCCGCTTTCACCAAAAATCTTGTATGAAATTCGTTGCGAAAAGAGTGTTTTACGCACTCGACGCATTGTCCGACAATTTTGCGTCTCGTGCTAAAACACATTCATTTCGCAACTTGTTACATAAATAGCTATTTTATAATTGGCATTTTGAGAAAAATGCCTTCTTATCAAAAATACAAAAATTTTGCTTGTTCCAAAATAGTTAATCTCATTTTTAAGTTTCCAAATTTTAATACCGTTGAAACTAAAAATCAAAACGCGTCTGTATGGTAGTATAACTTCGTTTTCATACATACGAGGCGTTTCGGAAAAAATAAGAAGGATAGGAAAACAATATAACATACGAACATCTTTCAAAACACAAAATACATTTAGATCCATTTTATCACATACTAAACCAATGAATACAGAACAACAATCAAAAAATGTAATATACCAAATACCATGTGAATGCGATAAATTTTACATTGGTGAAACATCTAGACCCTCACTGATAAAAAAGATAGACTTGAACTAAAGTCGTCATCGTGACGACGAAGAGAATTTAGTAGCTTGAAAGAAAATATTTTGCCTGAAGAAAAACTCTCTTAACTCAAGAAAACCTGTTCTCTTGAAAAATTCGAAAATTTTTCTTGAATCTATTTTCATTCAACCAAGTGCAAGTTACTTTGTTTTAAGATAATAACAAAAATACGCTAGGAAGTACTTCATTCAAGAAACATGGCCATTTTTCCAATAGCTAAATACTCTTATGATGAAAAATAATAACGACAGGCAAAGACGATGACGATGGACGGTATATACCAATGACTAAAGAATATAAGGACATGTAACGCCCCTATACGGGCTGCAGCAGAATTTGTGACCTTTTTTTATGTTTTGGTGGCAAACAATGAGTCATCATTTGGTCACCAGCGACAAATTTAGCGATTTTTAATAGTTTGTGTGTAGTAAACTTTGTATAAACTTTATTACAATGGTGATTAGTTGTTCAGCTTTCAAGTGTAAAAGCAGCAGCGATAAGAAAGAGCCAGGAGTTACGTTTCATAGGTAAATAAACAGTCCACTCCAACCTTTTAGCGTTTTCTTATTGAATTCGATAATTATTTTTCAATTTCATTTATTTAACATCTAGGTATATGTACTTGATATGTGCTATACGTCGATACTAGTTTTGTACCTTTTGTTAACATTTTAATACGTTTTTTTTCGTAATTAATTAGGATTATACACCATAGGCGTAGTCAAAACAATTATCAAAAAATATAAATATTGCTTCAAACAGCTAGGTTAAGAAAAATATGTGCCACGGCACTGTTTGCTGACATCGTCACAATTTGCTCTCGGGTGTTATTTGTCCTTGGATTCTTTAGTCATTGGTATTATACAATCAGTCGGCAGTCCGATCAGTATCACGCCTCACGTCGTCGCATTTCATAGGTCGCACATCATAATATACGCACGGGTTTTGTTGCTTGGAATTTTCCACTTGGAATTTTGCATAATTTGCTTTTTAAACGCATATCGTATAACAAATTAGTGATCGTTATTAACATGCATTTGTCATTTTTTATGGACAAATTTTAGGATATATGGATTCTTTAAAGGAGTTTCTAAGAAAATGGAAATTAGAGCATTTATTTGCTATATCTGAAGGTAAGGGACATTTACCTAATGCACCTGTATAGATAATGCATGCGTGACTATAGATAGAATGAGAATATGGGTATCTATTTTTTATGCAAATAATTACAAAAATTTTAGAATTTCAAGTCGTCGTATTAAAAAAAACAAAATGTGACCAAAGCTTATAATTTTAATAATTTGTTTGCTTTACTTTGATTAATCGTGATGTAACATTTTTTTGTAATTTGTAGAGTGATGAACCACCCCAAAAAATACCAAGGAGTCAAGAAGCAGAAATAACTACCTACTATCGAGGAAAATAATATTACTTTACTTACTACAGACTAGGAAAACCTAAATTTATCAGAAAATAATATACCTCGTAATATGCTTGTATATGATGTATAGACTTCTCTTAGATCAAAATAAATTTTAGTTGAGTCAATGTTATTCGCTATTGGTTTAAGGAAAGAGTCTCTTTAATCAAGAAATGTCCCTTCTCAATCAAGAATTTTTGCATGAATCAAAGAGACTATTGTTCTTGTAGCAAGAACTTCTTTGCATATTAATTTTGGGTCAGGAGTGAAATACTTTGGACAGATAGATTCTTCTATTCTCTAAAGTAATTTTTTAAAGCTTATGAAAAGATAGTTAATTCTTTGGGCAAAGAAACGTCGTTCTAGGCCCTATTGAAAAGCGCCAATCTTTTGGGTCAAAGTCATATTCATTTCGACTGAGAGATCCTTTTTTTCAGTGCTTAAATGTTATGAATTGAAGAACATAAAGATTATTTAAAAAAGGGAGATTTTCACAAATCTAAGATTTGTCAGCATTCATGGGACACAGGGTACAGAATAAATTTTAATAACGCCAAAATTATAATGAAAGAAGCGATAGCCTCTAAAAGAAAAATAAAAGAGGCTTTTTTATACAATCTAATAAAAATAAATGATAGCTCATGCATCTGTAGGTGTTAGTAATGTATGACAATCGCTTCTTTGATTTTAAAGACCTTAACATACGTAAAAATTAAAAATAATCATACAGAAAGTTTGTGCTTTTTGGTTTGACCATGGTTGTGCTTTTCGTTTTTGTAGACGTATCTGTTTTAAAAAACTAAAGTGTTCTCGAATAGTTCAATTTAAATATTTTAAATAGTTTTTTCTTTATTCTTTCTATTTTTTTTGCTTCCAACGACGGATAAAGGAGGAGAGGAGATAAACTTTCCGAAACGTTAAGCATATTTTTGTTCGTTAGGCAAATTTAAAGATTTAATATTAATCTTTAAACCTAACTTCTGACAAGTAGTTTCCGTTTGGGATTAACGCAGAAGTGTTTACATAAAATAACTATTTTATTTTGTAGATTTTCTTGGAGTGGCGAAAAACCCATATAGGATTTTGTTGGAGAGATGAATGATGAATCAGCCACATAGGTATTAGACATTTTTTAAAATATAGAGTGCCATTGAACAATATAAAGATAAAATGTCATTAATGGAAGGATGATGGTATGGATATTTAAATGGTATTTGTTTTTTTCCAGTCTTCTTCTTTTTCAATGGATTCCCTAATATATAATTTTCTGAATAAACAATATTCTAAAGCAATCATCTTTTTTCGTGAATCGGCCTATAGAGCAAATCCTTAATAAACACAGACGGCATTTAAAGTACCGTTGTACCATAATGATGTAAAACCCGCTCCTGTTCCGAAGCCTGTCCTGGTCGTCGCAGTCACCTGTGCCCGAGATAATGACAGTCGGGCAGGAGGTGTGTGTGACAGCTGGACGTCAAGAGTCGCTCACGATAATCTCGTTAATTATTAAAATACGCGCTTCGAGGAAAAAAAGCCTATTTTTTTAAACCGTACGTAAGTAAATGCCCCTATATTAGCAATTTTCGTTTCAGGTAAATGTCTTGGTTTTTTTAAGTTATCGATATAAGCTTTGAAAAATGGATAATTACGGTATACGTATTTATAAGCCGATAAGGGAAATATTTAACGATATATGACGTACGGAAATAACTTAAATTTGGATTTAGAATAAAACTAGGTTGCAATATATTTTATCGTGAAGCTCTGTCTACACATAATGTTTTACCTGTCAGTCTTACCTGTTTAGTAGAGAAAAATCTATCCGATAGTCAAGCAGCCTTAAGAGCGATCAACTCAGTAAACATCAGTTCAAAGTTGGTCAAAGAACGTCTAGAGAAGCTTAACAAAATAGGTAAAAAAATAAAATCCTCGTACTCTGAGTGCCAGTCCACGAAAAGATAGAAGGTAATGAAAAAGCAAACGATCTAGCTAGAAAGGACCAAAAACTACTGGACCAGAACCGTTCTCCTTAAAAGTGGAAACTATCTTAATGCGGAACTCAAGAATCTGGAAGACTCCATCCGTATAACCTGCAATGGGAATCCTCCAACACCCGAAGAAATTTTTCGAGATTTTCCTTGATTTAAGTAAGAATCATCTTCGGATTGCCATGGGTTTTTTTACCAGGACACGGTCTCCTCAATGAAAACCTCAGAAGCTAAGAAACTTAGATTGAAGCTAAGAAACAATGGCGAATGCAGATTCTGTGAGGAAAGTGGGGAAACACCAGAACATCTCATCACTGAGTGCGACGAGACGACAACCTCATCAATCCTACCGTAAACTTTGGTATGACTATGGAGGGCTTAAAAAAGGAGGTTTATCGGCAATGGGCATATTTGAAATTTCTGTCCCCACTTTTAAGCAGGTTCCTCGGTTTGACAGTAGAGGCACTGCGATCGACAGTGAATACTATATTTTCATTGTTATTATACGGTTTAAGTTTGTTTTTGCTAAAATTATAGTTAATTTGTTGAATTTTTAGCAGTATAATAATGAGCGTTGTGAAAAAAAACTATACAGTAGAAATAGCTCGGTATCTGGCTGTAGAAGTGGATATTTCAATGAAAAAAAAGCGAAGAGAGAAAAGTAACCCAAAACTTTTCAAAGCTCCTAATGTAAGTAATATGATTATTTATTTAAAAAAAATATGAAAGATGTTAATAAAAACATTAAAATTATATACTATCAGTGTACACATTTATTTAAAAATCATATTAATAGAGAATATAGCCCATAATCGAACATCTGCATGACATAACCTAGAGAGCCTAAAATAATAATAATTTAATACTTTAATACCTACTAACATGTTAATATATATGTGCTACTAGGTGTTTAAATTACCTGTTATTAAATAAGTAGGTATTAATAATATATATTAACAACCATTGCTATTAAATATTATTTGAATCTTATAGAAAGTGAATATTAAACATTATTTACACTTCAAAAATGTAGTTTCAAAATAACAGCTACCTCGAATAGTGAAAAATATTTTTTTAAATTTATTTAATAATTAGGTATATCTCTTTTACTAGGATGACTAGGATCCTAGCATCGACAAAGAAGAAAGACATCCTAACTTGCTACAGCATTGGCAAAGGGCAGTTCCCCAGACAAAATACTTCGCAGTAGTGATGTGTTTTATGCACTTATTTAGACAAAATTAGTTGACGGAACCAAAAGGGAACTATCACTAGATAAGGGTAGATAATTTATTTTACTATTAGTAGATAATTTCTTTATTGTATATTGAGGTGTATATTACATTTATTAAATTTAGCTACTTGGAGTTAGTCAATTAATCAAAATAAAAGTTATGTATTTATATTCCTAAATAAATAAATTTAATGTTTCAATGTTTCCTGTAAGCCTATTTTTTAATGTAGTTTTTAGAGAAGGTTTTTTATCACGTTGAGTAAGTTCTTTCTACTTGATGCCTTTTATAGCCTTTTTTCTGTAACATGTATTTCCATTTCAGTGTCCTGAGGATGGAATAAATAAAGATGGACCATTAACAAAGTGTATTAATTGTAGTCCAAACCCTTCCAACTGCAACCCCACTAGTTCCTAGATTTTCTTTCTCACTAGTCAGTCGATACTTCTCATAGAATGTATACACTAGGAATACATACATTATGATCGAAAAAACGGCGTCAGCGATCATTTTATATATAAAATTATGTGGGGAATGTGATAGATGTTCATTTCCCAGCCAACTGGACGCCGTTTTTTTCGATCATACGGTAGTCCTTGACTTATTATTTTATTTACAAACCTACCTCATACTCGTATTAATAAAAAAGTGGATATCAACAGAAGGAACTTTAATTACAGATCAAATCAAATGTATACATATGTATTTATAACACAATAATTGTTAGGTGACATTGAACATAATACATCTTCAATTTAAATGTCTGTGAAACAGTCATAATTGGCAAAACTTTGCTAATGACATCAGAGATGACATTAAAACTTACAATTTAGAGAAGCTAGAAAAAAGTAAAAAGTTACGAGATACACAACACCAATCAAACAAGATAAGTGCAATGTTTATATTATATATTCCTGATTAATTTTCGTCATTCATTTGCTGTAATTTGTCATAAACCACTACTAGTTTAAAAGTGTTTAATGTTTATTATTAGTATCACAATGAACTGCATGTAAACATGTCAATTCCAAGTGTTTTCATAAAAAATTATGAAACTTTAAACTGCATCAATTAAACTATTAATAAATCACTAACACACTCACATCATAAACTATTTAATTCACATTTCTCATCAAGGAACAATTACTGTTTATATCAAATCAAAAGTTGAACTGGTGATACGTTTGTTGCTGGAACTTCTATATTTTGTGTACACCAGTTGAAGGAAACATTTATTTTAGCAGCTTATATTTTTCTTCGGCCGTGTATGCACTAAATAGAACCCCATAATAAAAATTTTTTATAATAAGAACTTAGGAAAATAATATCTAAAACCGGCATCTGATATAACCTAACTCACTTTTCAAACTGAAATTTAAGGTTTTGTATTCACAATTTTAGCCACGCACATTGCTCAATTAGAAAAAAACACGTTTCTAAAAGCTAACTCTGGTAAAAATATGCCCAAATATTAACTTGGCTCTATAATTTATAACAAAATAGTTATTCTTGCTATAAGAAGCTGAGTATTTCTAGTATCACTATCATCACATGCGCCCCTAACGGCAATTTTCGAACTTCATTTAGATCATGAAATCTGGGCCCAAAATTTTTGCGTTCGATTCGCCTCCTCCTTTTAGACTCCATAGGTATGACTAATATCGGAGATGGAGAACTAACCTCTGTAAAACTGTGTCAGCTACTTGTTTTTGTAAAAGCTTTGACCAGAGAGTTTATGATGAGTTATAACTCAAGAAAGGGGACACAGTAGATCTATGAGATCGCGATGATTAAGTTCCCCCCTCGCATACAGTCTACAATCTACAAGCGTTTTGCAAAAACTTAGCTAGATTTTTCCATTTTATTTATTTTTTGTTTATTCTTTGTTATTTTGCTTCTGATAACTGAGGCAGATATACCGCCTGAAATGTTAAATGTTGTGTGCTTGTAGTCCGGTCAATCTAGACATTCAAAGGTACATAAATTTACAACAAGCTGAAAATGCGTGTAATTATTTAAAACATAATTAAAAATAATATTTTAAAATTCCGAATCATTCCGGTGCCTGGAAAAAAAAATGCGAGGTCAAAAATCTCGAAATAAATTGTTTTTTCGCGATTTTCAGCAAAACGGTAAATTTTTTAATAAAAAAACTTCAAACAAAAATTATAGAGAATAAAATTCCCTATAAAATATGTATCAATACTTTTTTTCCTTAGAGCCACTATTTCTGAGATATAACGAGTCAAAAAGTTGTAATCGTCATAATATGCACACGTTTCCACGCCACCTGAGGTAGTGTATTTAGCGCGTTATTTTTAACGTGGTTTCCCCAGTATGACTATTCCATATGTCTATAATTATTGTGATTCTGTTTAATAGGACACTATTACAGAATAAAAGACATTAGTAAGGATTAGAAATTATAAAAGCGATGGAAATAAAAAAAAAATGAAATTTACTAGTCTGATTCATAACCTTCAAATACTTCTTGATGTTCTCCTGTATCTTCTTCTTCTTCGTCTTGGAGACTATGAATTTATAGAGTCTTCTATTAAATTGTCTTCCGAAACACAGTCTGAAAAAATAAATAATACTTAGAGATATGTTGACATAGAGAGATCATGGAACGATTTATGTTTACATAAAAAAATCGCTAAAATTAAAATGCAAATAATTATAACAAATGAAAATTGTGTTTTCTAATGGGCTGTCTTTATATTTACAGAAACAACACATGAATTTAATTAATATAATATACTTACCCTTAAATTATAAAAACACCCACGCTGTGGAGTCTCAGCCACCTGTTCAAAAAATTGTTTAGATTAAAATGTTCTTCGTCTTTCCTCTAACTACGTTTTCAATCGATTACCTAATTCACATCAGCTTTACAAGAAGTCACGTGACGTGGTGTCATTTTTTACTAAATATATTAAGGTAAATTTACACAAGTTTTGTGTCTAAGAGACATACAATTTTACTACAAGATTGTATTACTGATTTAAATTTAATTTTTATTTTTTTTATTGTTAACCCATATTAACAATAAAAAACAAACAACCAATCACGGCGCGTCTCGATCAATTTCAGGAAACCTTGGAACTAATTTTTATAACACGGGCTTATATTTATCGTACTATTTTGTGGAATAGCACGAGGCAATCAAGGTTAAAGGTTTTGGTGGCTTCAGAAAAATAAGTAAACATGGAAAAACTGATATGAAAACAGTTACCGATGATAAATTAAATTGGCTATTCCTCGAAGGTTACACAAGAATGCTTAGTTTTAATCATTGTCTTATATTATTAATTACAATATAGTAAAAAACATAAATCAGTGACTAACTCGCGGTTTACCATTTATAGGCTTATAATCCACGGCATTGCGCCTCATGTACAAAATATACATAAAATTATTTAAAAAATCGTCTAGTTATTTATTATTTCTGGTTATGGTAAAGTAATATATTTATTTATTTATACTGTAGTCTGTAGCAAAGTTTAGTTTACGAATTTGGTTTTGTTTTTCTAGTTTTAATTGTCTAAATCCCTACATAATAAATGATACTAGTTGAATGGATTTATATGAAACCAGGCTGGGCGCTAATGAAAGTATCGCTTACAGATTTCTCTTAAGAACAAAAAAAGAACATTGCTTTTAAATAATGTCCGTGGACCATACTTTTGTTGACATCGGGTCAATCAATAATTTTCCCAAGCGGATATGTTGATAATGTTACGAGTATTACTCATCAAGTAATACTCATCATTATGTTGAGTACATAATTGAGTACCAGTATTACTCATCAAGCAATACTACTCTTATATTAATCAATTAAGGCCGTAAACAAACATATCATATACAATTTTATATACTAATTCATTATAATAAAATTCAATCATAAAAATATTGTACCTAATTATATTTCTGCAGTTTAAGTGAAAAGTTTTGTTTCAAAATATCTACTATACATATAATAAACGCGTGTTCAAATATTAATTCTGTGTAATATATATATAAATATATCATAAAACGGTATGTAATTAACGAAATATCATCGTAACAGCTATTTTAGAAACGTCTAGGTTTACTTATTTCGCTGAGATTTACGAAAAAAAATCCTTTGCCTGGGATACAGATACCGCCACGTTTTGGAAACAGCTCAAAACAAAACAAAATTGAACGAGGCAACAGAAAACGCTAAAAAAAATCCCCCTCGCCCTCCTCACGAGTAGTTTTCAGGCGCGTTTAAGAATCGAAAGTAGGTCGAGGCAAACCGAAGTGGGTCAAGACAACTGGAAATAAGTCGAAATGCGTTTAAAGTTGGGCAACGAAATGCCATCTTGACATGTTTCGAAGAGTTCCTCGCATAGTGTAGACGATGTTTAATAATCATTAAACCAAACCAAACCGAACCGTTTTGCAAAATTAATTTTTTTGTAAAAATGCGCAAAAATATATTATGATTTTTAAAAGTTTTTGTTAAAAATGCTATAATTATATCTATATTTTTTTGTAAAATTACTTTTAATTTTTTCAGTATAGTTATAGGTAAAAAAAACATAAAAATTAATCTAAAATATATTATCAAAGCCCGCCAAAAGCAGTAAAACAGTTGATGGAACAATTTTATGGATTGAATATAAAAGCATAAACAGAAAATGCATTATTCAGCAGCAAAAGTAAAATCACAAAAGGTCTTTTTAACTGCCGACAGTAGCAGTTCCTGCGCGATTTTAACGTACACCCGGTATGATTAATGGTACGCACGTCCATTTGTAATCATTTACCATGCAAATTGCGCTAATGTCTGGTTGTTATTATGGTGCGCCGATATAAATAATTCGATTTGTTTCGAGTCGGCCGCTAATGGGACGCTAATTTACCATAACTAAATAAATAATTATAATAATAATCAATTAGTGACGAGTTCACTGCCATCTTGTGTACGTTTAACCGGCGAGTGTGATGTTTTTCAGTAAATAAATGTGTTTTCATTTTTATAATCACACGTTTGTTTACAATAAATTATACAGATTTTTTTAAATTGTTCTGTAGTAAAATTATAATTAAAATAGACTATTTCTGGGTGTGATCATATACAGGGTTGTTCACCACATACGACACGGAGTATTGTAGCTAAACGATGAGATTTTTACAAATTGTAAGTTTGCGGTTCGTTGAAGGACTATTAGAGCTACAATTTAAAAATATTTTTACAAGATACAGAGTGTCCCAAATAAATAAAAAATATCAAAGTTGTATTTTCTTAAATGGAACACCCTGTATATTATTACATTTTTAGTTTCTACGATTAAAATAAAGGTAAATTTAATTAAAGTTTATTATACTTAAACCTTACCGTGTTTGAAATATTTTCAATTTTGTGAAATTGCAGTAAAAATTTTAAAGCTTCATTTCTCCAAGGGTATCAATGTTTTTAATACTAAATATTTAATGAAGTTTATTTATTGATCAGTTATTGTGTTGCAATAATAAAATAATACTACCTTATACAGAGTGTCTAAAAATTTATTTTAAATAATTATTAGCTTCAAACGGCAATAACTTCTTTAATTTAAATGGAATGCCCTGTATATTTTAGGAGAATCAGATGCACAATTAAATTGTCTATCAAATTGTATTATACCATTTTTTACCTATCCCTTCAAGTTTTCGTAGAAAATGCATTTTCTTATAATTTAGAGCTCATTTATCAATATATCCATGGAATATTGACATTTTAGATTGTTTTTAAAGCAACAAATGTACAAAATGTACAGACTAGTAATATTATCGTTTTTAGCAAAACGATAATATTACTAGCCCATTTGTATGCAAAAAGCAAACTATTTAAATCTTTATAAAAGAGTATACCATTAATTAAATATAACACCATTATTTCCGACCATATACTAATTAATGACATACTTAATTGTGTTCGTTAATAAATTATTATAAATAAATGTGGATTTTTGAGTCAGAAATCAATATAATAATAAGTTATCAAATTAAAGTCTTTGTTGTTATAAATAAGCATTTATTAAAAAATGAAAGATCATTTTTAAGGTGTTACTTTTTATCACACTGTCTAATGCCCATACAAAATTCTGTTTTAGTATTTGAAGCAATTATTATTAATCAACGCAAACAGTAAGTTAATGTAGTTTGAATACTGGAATCATATTAATTGGTCGTCTTTAACAAATATTTAAACAGTTTTTTTTTATTTTTTAATGAAATAAACGAATTACATCGACAATATTAGTATCTGTACTCTTCAAAAATTTGGTACATCTTTAAAAATAATCTAAAATGTCAATAGTCGATGGGTATATTGATAAATAAGTTCTAAATTACAAGAAAATGCATTTTCTACGGAAACTTAAAGAGATAGGTAAAAATGATATAATATAATTTGATAGACAATTAAAATTGTGCATCTGATTCTCGTAAAATATACAGGGTGTTCCATTTAAATTAAACAAGTTATTGCCGTTTGAAGCTAATAATTATTTAAAATAAATTTTAGACACTCTGTATAAGGTAGTATTATTTTATTATTGCAACACAATAACTGATCAGTAAATAAACTTCAGTAAATATTTAGTATTAAAAACTTTGATACCCTTTGGAGAAATAAAGCCTTAAAATTTTTACTGCAATTTCACAAAATTGAAAATATTTCAAAAACGGTAAGGTTTAAGTATAATAAATCTTAATCAAATTTACCTTTATTTAATCGTAGAAACTAAAAATGTAATAATATACAGGGTGTTCCATTAAAAAAATACAACTTTGATATTTTTTACTTATTTGGGACACTCTGTATCTTGTAAAATTATTTTTAAATTGTACCTCTAATAGTCCTTCATCGAACCCAAAACTTACAATTTGTAAAAATCTCATCGTTTAGCTACAATACTCCGTGTCGTATGTGGTGAACAACCCTGTATATTAGTAAAATGAAAATGCCATTGCATTGGTAGGTATAGCAGCTACTAGATGTTCCAATTTAAGAACACAAAGATCATAATTTAAAAACATATTTGTTTCAAACCTTATATTTTTCAACATTTATACATCTCTAGATGTAATGCTAAAAATGATTGTATCGCAAATGATACTACCATATGATCGAAAAAAACGGCATCGAGTTGGTTTGGTAATGACGATCAATAACATGTTCTTATATAATTTTACATATACAGGGTGTCTCAAAAAATATGTGTCATCCCTCGTGGGGAGATGCCTCACGGAAAAATAAGATTTATTTTTCATATCAACATAGGTCCGATTCTGGTTTGTTTCGCAGCTACAGGGTGTTAAAGTCTTAATATTTTTTCGATTTATTATAATTTTCTTCCAAGAAATTTTGAGGGTAAAAGTTACTATAAGTGCTACATATGGTAATGCTAAAAAAGTGTGAACTGCATCAGTAACGTGCATATGGGTTATCACTGGAATCTTTTTCAAAAAAAACATGTGCGCCACTGACTTTTTTTCTTTTGATATTAAAATTGGGTAGGCCGTTTAATGCCAATTAAAAGTTATCTCTTGATATTTTGTCGAATTCGGCCTCCTTGATGAGATAAACGCAATTTTATTAATCACAATTAATAAAATTAAAATAAAAATAAAATTAATAAATTATATATCGCACCCTTAGTTATAAAGGGGCATAACTCAAAAATTACGATTTTTCAGTTTTATTCATAAAGGGGCCTAAAATACTGCCCTCTATCGGTTTGTAACCGACTTACGCATAAAACGTACTTTTTTAAGTGTAGAAACCTATATCAGCCTTTTTAGTACTGATGGATGCCGCGCGCTTTTTTAGAACTAGACGGCCACCATTCAGTATCATGCCAACACTATAGTGAACAGGTTGTGTTTCTTGTCGGCGTGTTTGTGATTGTGTCTTTGATTCACAAATTGTCAGGTAAATAATCATTTAATTTTTACTGTGATAGGGGCCTATTTTTAGTTAGTGCTTTTTTATATTTAAAAGTGATGCAATTGTAAAGAGGTATTTAGGTTAATGCCCTTTTATTACTGAAATTATAAGTACATTTATATGATTATCTCGAAATATGCCTTTTTTTACTGACTTTGTTTAAACTTTGTCAATTTTTAAAAGCGCATTAGGTCTTAGTGCTCTTTTGATTTAAATTATGAAAATGTATACTTCTTAGCATTTCGAGTTAGGCCCATCTAGAACTAAATATTAGGTTGTGATGTTTCTTTTTTCCTTAGAAAATCGTCGGTGATGTCTGAAAGAGCTCGCAGAATGGTAGATGTAGCAAGATCTACCTTACACAAGGTAAGCACTGGATATTTTTTTTGTTTTTATATGCGTTTACCCTTATTATGCCGCGCCATTTTTTAATTTTTAATTGGATTTTTTTTCTTTTAGGAAACCCTACCTTTAGAATTTCAAACCGAACCGGAAAATCGTATTGTTTTAGATCAGGGCATCGAACAGGATAATACTATAAACTCGATTATGGTAAATTTAGAATATATTATGTATGTATTTTTTAAAAGGCGTTTTAAATTTTTGTTATTATTCTTTAGACTTCATACGAATTTATTGAGACAGAAGAGTGTAGTAAAGAAAAATTCACTGAGAATTTCATCTCAAATCAATCTATTGAAGATACTAACGAAGATTTGGAGCTGGTAAGTGTTATCACGACATTCAAAAAATTGCAATTTTGTAAATTAATGATGCTTGTTTTAGGGCAAAAATAGTTCTGTAGAGAGAGAATGCGTTCAAGAAAAACCAGATCATCTCAGTTTGGATGTTAACGAACCAAATTTAACAAAATATTTGGATATAGTAGGTTTCAACCATTATAACAAAAAGTTCTCCAAAAAGTTGGTTCTTTTTGTTTTAGTCTTTCAATGATTCTGTTGAAGTAGATCAAGGTCGCCCGAAAGAAAAATCAGATTACTCAACTTTGACCAATGAAAATAATTTGATTCAACGTTCGAATGTCGAAGTAAGCTGAAAACATTTTACAAAAAATATTTAAAATCTTCACCGTTTTGTTCGTGTTTCAGGCTACTGAATCATTTACTGTTGAACTAGATAAAGAGTGTCCCACTAAATTACAGATAAAACGAAAATGCTGTACGGATGTAACAAACAAAAAATACCGCATTTCTCCGATTCACTCAAATGAAAGTGATGTTGACCACACCGATTCTGATCCGACTTATTCACAGGAAAACTATAAATTAGGTATTCTTTTCTGAATGATATACTATCAACAAACTTCCCAGTGCCTGAAAATAGTTTGTCTTCGAATTCATCTTCCGATAATTCTTCAGAGTCGTCTACAGATGAAGAAAATCTTCAAGAGAATATTCACAAGGGGAGGAAACGTTCTAGAAATCCCGAAAAATGGAAGCAAATTAAGGCCAAAAAACTTCGAAACAGTGGGAAAGCTTACAAATCAGTATCCAAGTCCAAGAAACAAATTCCAGAAAGAACAATGAAATCACCTTGTCCTGAAAAATGTCGATTAAAATGTGGTGATAATATCGATACGGAAAATCGAACAGCGATATTTAATAGCTTCTGGAAACTTGCGGATATTTATAAGCAACGCGCATTTGTTGGGTCATGTATGAAAAATATAGTTCCCCGATACAAATACACGAATGCCGAAAGACCTAGACCTATAAAAAGCGCAAAAAAATCCAAGCCGTCTTTCAATGTTCACGAACTCTCACACGAGTGTTTCCTTGATATTAAAAAACTTCAAGAGGATCTGGGATGTAATTTTAGCGAAGATGTCCGAGGAAATGTTTTATCTTGGAATAAAATAAAAAGTCTTAAATTTATTAAAGACAAGCCATACAGCTTTTTTTATAGAACATCTTATTCTGATGATTACACTGAAGTAGTTGTGAGATCTCAAAGGAGAAAAATGAAAGCCATCGAAAAGTTAAAATTGGGGCTGGTTTATCCAACAAAACTTGAACTTGGTGAAAATAAGAAGAATGACTTAAGAGATCTCGTTTCAAGAAACCTAATAGCTAGTTTTTATTCCGATTTTTTTAACTCGATTTTGTAAAATTTAGTGTTTTTTAAATCATACTAAACTTGTAATAAGACTGGTTTATTTATAAGGGTTCCTATTGTTATACCAAAGTTTTACGAGTAGAATAAGAAATAAATTTTATTTTTTCAAAGTTTATAGTTAACGAGTAGCATAAGGCGTTACCGGATTTATAAAAATATAATTTTTATACCTACTGCTGAAATGATTAAAAAAAATTTGTTTTTGTGTGTACTGATGTTTACCTTAAAATTCCTATAGTATTATAGTACCCAGAATCATTTTAGAATTTATATCTACAGAGGCACAATCATAAATGTTATAATAACAAAATCATAGTTTTTACTAATAAAAAGTATCATCTCAAAATAAACATCGCAATAAAAGTCTGAAATTGAACGAAAACAGGCACATTTCTAAAAACGTTTTTGTTTATTTTCAAAAATTTTAGAACTATTGGGGCGCAACTGATTTTATCTAATTCTCAAAGCCACAAAATCCTCGATATCACTTTAATTGCGAAAAACTTTAACTACCTCTTAACTCAACTATATTAACAATCATAAAAACAATTGCTTCGACATATCACACAAATGCTTTTCATAAAAATAACATTTATGTTAGTCTTTTACCATTACACCAACAGTTTTTGTCATTTATAAGAAAACTGTATTTTTGGGATTATGCCTCTTTAGTACTAAGGGTGCGATATGTTACCTAATTTATTATTAAATATTATTACTATTAGTTATTATTACAATTAGTCTAACCTACAGCAATTTTAAATAAAAAAATAACGGTATTCGAGATAAATACAAAAAAACCTAATTCTAAAAAGTTTTAACATCCTGTAACTCTAAAACTATGCATTTCCATACCCATGTTTATAGGAACTTTTTTTCATATTTTTTGATGGGGAATCAATGAGTACTTATTTGAAACTTTCGCAAGTTAATAACATTAAATTTTTTAAAGGTTATTATTAGACTTGGATCACGGTAAATTAATAAAATTGCGTGTATCTCATCAAGGAGACCGAAATCGACAAAATATCAAGAGACAACTTTTAATCGCCATTAAACTCCTTACACTATTTCGCTAACAAGAGAAAAAAAAGTCAGTGGCGTACATGTTTTTTTTAGAAAAATATTCCAGTGATAACCCATACCTATATATGCACGTCCCTGGTTAATATGTCGACATTTTTTTAGCTTTAAAATATGTCTTAAGTTTCCAGTCCATCTGTTGTCCGTCTTTCTTACTAGTTGTCCTGCCTATTGCCACTTGAGGGATTTGATTCTGTGGATGACATCTATTACTTGGGTCTTTTGTCGTATCCACTTTATTCCTTTTACGGTCTCTCTTGGTTACTCCCAGCATATTTCGTTCCATTGAGCGTTATGCGACCTGCATTTTCCTTATAATGTCCGTTTTAAGTGTTCAGGTTTCGCATGCATAGGTCATGACTTTGCCACGCCCTTTCTAATTTGAAGTTCAATAAAACACAAGTTTACTTAATCGGTAATGAGTTGCATAGAGGCCACTAGCTTTTTAATTTTAACAGCCGGGTGGTCGGGGTTCAAAGATATTAATAAAAGGGCGCCACGAGATTATACTCTATAAACTCGGCAATAAAGATGTAACTATTAAGTAGACTTCAACACTAACCTCGAACTGTTGAGTGCAACTATCATGAACTTCAAATATTCTATAACTATTTGTACTTAAGTGACTCTAACTTAACTATGAGACTAGACTGTAAATAATACTACTAAAAATATTTAAGCAATTTATTAAAATATTAAAAAGGTATAAAGAAAAGAAATGAATGAAATATAAATGATTGGAATATATTAAGTCAGAATTTAAATCAATAAAAACTAAATCTATGACGTCATCCCCCTTAACTTAAACTAAGTATGCTCTAAGGGCGGAATACAAATATCAAACTAAATCTAACTAATATCTAAACGATCTTACTCTAGAGTGTAATGTCTTGACAAGAACTTGAAATCTACTCGGAAGTTCCTCCGGCTGAGCTTCGGTGTATAGCAATGGGGTAGCTACAGCAGGCTAGAGCAGGCTACAGCAGCTCGGTGTACTGTCACTGGAGCCCGTCAGCAAACGTACAGATACCAGGCAGGTGTAGGACTTCAACAGGTGACATAAACCAACCAAACCCTAAATAACATTGGTTGTCTTAGAAAAGAACCTCAATTATAGAACAAGGACTAGCACAACGTGTAGGAGTTAATAAAGGTAATAAAGAATTCAATCAAATCTGAACTTTACCTCAACGAGGGTTTATGATGTCCAACGGGTAACTCTACACACGGGCAACAAGACCGGATGGAATTCTGGACTGTTCTGTGCTGTACGGTCTGGATCGGTCTTCTTGCTCTACAATTACGAACAACCAAATAAGACTTAAGAAATATAACACTCAACTAATCTTTCTACACCACGTGGGCGTGGAAAAGTCGAAAACCAGACAACAATATGAATAAAAATCAGTTGAGCATTGACTTAGAATAGGCAGAAGAATTATAGCATACCTTGGAACTATGCGGGGACTTCTTGGGCACGTGGAATCGGAATATCAGTCGGAAAATTAGGCTATTTTAATCCCATTGTGGAAATTGGTCGGCGGTCCATAAAATCATCAAAATACAACCACGTCTTTGACCAAAGGTGTTTCGGAAGCCTTAATCCTTCTTTACGAAGACCTGCTATTCACCAACAGGGAATGCTTCACGAAACGGCAGCCACTTCTTCACGGCGATATTCTCGGTCGGGGAGTACACAAGAAGTGATGCAAGGATTCGATTTCCTTCACAAAATCAGATTTCAACCGGAAATCTCCCTCCAGGATATAGATAGAGAACTATATATCTTGACTAGTCCAACTCACAAAAAGGCATAAATAAAAAATTATGTTTTCTACTCAGCCATATTCCATATCCGGTCAATGAACGAACTAAACTCACAAATTCCACAATTAAAAGAACGAATTGCACACTGCGATCCACATCAAAAATAACCAATTTAACTACGAAATTTTATCTGATAATTATGAAATTTCAATAACCAAAACAAAGGATAACTAAATCCAAAAACATCTGATTTGATCTGACAGTGACAAGTGACGGAGGTGAGGATCAAAGATATAGAGAGATGGACAAAAAACCTACTGCTGGTTGGCATCAGTGACAATATATGTATAATATCGCGGTGTATATCGGGTTGCATAATCGTAAAATTTAAATAAAATAATATTTAACAATAAAATTATAGTAAACATGATGCAAAAATAATAGCTATTTGCGATATTTTATGAGCTAGCACACAGAGGTCGTTGCGAGGAAATTTGACTGTTACAACTTGTAGTACATATTGGTCTCTTGTTCTTTAAAAAAAATGGCATTCTAGACTTGAATATGATTGAGTTTCTTCCATAAGTACTCAATGCTAATCCTGACCTATTCTTCTTAAGGTGCCGTGCAGATTCCTGCGTAGGCGTTTATCTTTTTCTTCCTCATCAGATGGTTCTGTTAACTGCCAATTCTGTTTAATCCTGACCTATAATAGGCCCCAAATATACATATATATTCTTCTATTTCCAGTGTTGTAGAAACTGTTAGTTGAAGTGTAGTTTCCAGTGTGTTAAAATCTTTTCATGCATTTTATAAATACTTTTAATGGTGAAATGAAACTTTATAAATCTCTTAGTATAGGTATACATATAGACATTTTCTCCCCTTTTGTATACCTACTACATAATTATCTTTTCATCGAACAAAAGAAATGAATAAAAAGAAACATCTTCCCGCATAATAATAATCCAGAATTAAGGATGATGATAGTAAAAAATAAATAAAACTGAGCGCAATAAGTAAGCCAGCGTTTCTTTTTTATAATGAGCTTATTTGTGAGCAATTTCGCGCTACTTAGCTGGAAATCTTTATGAAAATTTTTACTCCAACTGAATACAAACTGGCTATTTTTACAGCCATTAAGTTTTCCGTGCATATTTTTCAGAGCCCTTGGTACAGTAACGGCCCGTGTAGCGCCTTTTTATTGTGTTACTTATAATTGGTTTAAGAGGGTTACTGTTATATCATAAGTTATTCATTTGATATCTTTAGTTATGACTTAGTAATTACTATTATTAAAAGGTAACTTTTTCAATCGAAGAATTATTTTCATTTTATAAAAATCTATAATTTTCTTGTATTAATGAAATTAAATTGAAACATTCACGTAAAAGGCATATTTTTTATTACCTTTATTGCTGAATATGGTGGTCTTCATCTCACTTGTAGGTTACCCTTTCCTGTCGTATCTTCTTCAAAAAACCTCATTGGAGCCTAAGCCTTCCAAATAGATTGAGTAACTCTATCCACTTCTGTTCCTGTGGAACTTGGAAGTGGACAGACTTGTTTCTAAACTACAAGAAGGCGTTGACAATGCTCCTTAATATATTGTTTTGGAATGCTGGATTATTTCTTTGATTGCTTTTACTAGCACAACCCCATAATTGTATCTCCTTCTTATCACGCCCTCTCCTGCCGAAGGTTGGCGATTCAAATAGCAATTGTGGCTCTGGAAACTGCAGCCCGGAAGATTTCCGCAGACGAGCGTTCAAACCATCTCCTTAAATCTTTTAGCCATGAGTTCTGACTTCTTCCTACTGATCTTTCCCCTTGCACTTTGCCCCCTATTATGAGGTGCAGTATTTCGTATCTACCACCTCTCATCACATGACCCAGATATTGCATATTTCTTTCCTTGATGGTGTTCAGTATCTCTTTTTGTTTCTGCATGCGCTGGAGTACTTCATCGTTGGTGATCCTTTTTACCCATGAGATTCGCAGAATCCGTCTGTACACATACATTTTGAAGGCTTCTATTCTCTTTTCGGTCTGTGAATCCAGTGTCCATAATTGTATGCCATATGTTTATACATGTTGGTAAATCAGTAATTTATTGCAATATTGATAAGGTCGAATTTCGCCCAAGAAGCCAATACATTTTTTTTAATTTGATCTTTAGTTCTTCCTTTGTCTTTTTGATGTGGCTCTTCCAACGCAGTTTTGCTTCCAATATCATTCCTAAATATTGGGCCTGAATGGCATATAGTATGTATTTGGGTATTGTTTATGCTAATAGGAATATGTTAAATTTTTTGTTTGTAGAACTAACATATATATTTGTTAAGTAGTCGAAATCCCAAGATGTATATTAGTTGTCCGAAATAGATATATTCTTCAACACCTTCAACACCGGAAATATTAGAAGAATATATATATATATATATATATATATATATATATATATATATATATATATATATATATATATATATATATATATATATATATATATATATATGCTGGCATAGCAGCATATATATATATATATATATATATATATATATATATATATATATATATATATATATATATATATATATATATATATATATATATATATATATATATATATATATATATATATATATATATATATATATATATATATATATATATATATATATATATATATATATATATATCTATATATATATATATATATATATATATATATATATATATATTTGGGACCTACTATGCTATACAGCTCGGGAGCTACTACCAGAAATCAACAGAAGAATTAAGTTACCCAAGTAGCACAACAATATTGTTCCAAGATTGATCCAATGTAAAATACATATTGGGCCAAGCTAGTTTTTAATGTCGGGCCAATAATAATTCGTCACTTTTTGATATACCTATTGGCCCAACATTTTTTTTTAAATATTGGTTCAACAAAGTTATTAAAATATTGCCCCAATTAAAAGTGCAATATTGCCCCAACATTGTTTTTAAATATTGGTTTGGTTTGGTAAACTAACTAAAATATTGCCCCAATTAAAATTAATCAAAATTAAATGTAATATTACGCCAACAGATTCCCTAAACATATAGTTTGAATGTTAGTGCAAAATATAGTCACATATACCAAAGACTACACAAGACGAGACAGTGGGACAGAGAAACGATTTTAAAAAAGACAGACGGGGTCGCGTTTTAAAGGAAAAATTTCCAAACAATTACATTCTTGCCAAGTATAAAACAGTTAACTGAATTCAATAAAATATATTATCTTATTATAAAACGAATTATAATACTAAATATATAAATACCAATGCAATAAAATAATTACGTCTAAGTTATATTCATTTAGATACTATTATAAATGTAATATTTTTTGTGCTACTAAAAATTTTACTGTGTAAATTATAAAGAACAACATACAACATTGTATTTCCAACTGACAAGTTTATTTTCGCCTAATGCTAATGTTTCGAAAGGTTAGTTAGATTACAAATTATTCCTTTAAAATTGCTTCGTTAAAAATTCTTTTCCGTATGATTTGTGAATTTGCCAAGAATATGTTGAATATCTAGTTAGTGTTTGGATAGAAAGAATACCTTCGAGTCGTTCCGATCTACCCCCAAAGAATACAAAAATACTATTTTAATAAAATACCAAGTAGGCGACAACAGGCAAGTAAAAATTATCAATTTAAGCAGAATAGAAACACAGTTGAATTTAAATATTTTCGAAAGTGTAATAGCTAATTAAAGATTAAATTTTATTTAAGAAAACTAGGAATCATAGCTGTTATGTACTTTATATGAGGAAAATTTTCAAAAAGCTATTTAAAGATTATTTTTAATATTCAATAATTAATTATTATTGATATTTATATAAGGCTATGAAACCATTGTATATTAAATCATAAAAATATTTTTACTATGGCCATAACTTTTAGTTTATATTTTTCTTAAAAGTGGAATGAACTATGTCATGTGGACATTATTTTCACAAGGAATATAACAATTCCGAAAGGCAAGTTTATTTTGCAAAATGTAGGACAAAATAAAAGTCAGTGGCTTAAAAACCACCCAATGTTACATCTATATATTTTCATACAACAATACCTTCTTACTCTCTGAAAAAATAAAATATTTTCTTGATTGAATAAGAGTGTAATTTTGTCACAAGACAATACAACTACCATCTGTTATGTTGATGTTCTGATGTTTTGGTTCAAGTAACTGATTTTTCTAAAAAAGATAACATTCACTTCATTTAGCTCTTCAGTACTTACACTCGCCAGTACCAAAACACCCCGCACAGATATCTTGGTAAGGGAATGTCAAAATTACATGCCGTTCCTTGTATTCTTTATATTCTTTACCCGAAGTGGTTTGTGTTCTAGCAGATAGTCGCAACTATTAAATCACTAATAAATTTAAAAAATACTATTCTTATAGATGTCGAGGAACCAACAAGATCTACTGAAGTACATAATCTTGAAACATTAATAAATAAAAAACATCCAAAACTGACAAAGGTGTTATTGTTGTCCCTTAAATCATGAAATCATGGAATACCTCAAGTGCACTGAATGGATATATAAAATCCATCAACAATGGCTTAGCATATAAGGCAAAACCATTTTATGAATCCGAAAATTCAGGCAATTAATATGTTTTGATGCAATTTATTTTTTTACAATTTTATTTTTTCTATGTCTACAATTATTGTTAAAATTTAAATAAATGGGTATGCTTTACATAATCACGAATACGCCATCCAATTTATTTTTTCCATGTTTCTCATCAATTGCCCATGCCCCCATGCGAGTAGCTACATAGAAAAAGCGTTATAGGTACTTTTAAATGGAGGCTAATGATTTTTGTTTCAAGATCATAGAGTTAGATTTTAATACTTTCGGAATTCAAGAGAATTTTCTATGCATGTGTAGAAATTTTATTCTGAATATTGCAGTTTTTATCATCCCTTCTATCCTAACAGATATATTATCTCACACTAATCCATATATCCCATATACTTCTTAAACATTAACACTTTCAATTAAGTCCTAACTTATTGGACATCCTTTAACTACAAAAACCAACAATCATCCGCACTTCTTTTTCCTTCCTAAATAAGAGACAATTCAACTCCAAACCCGTCCATCCCTTTCACCTCATTTCATTCACACCACCCTTTATCCTCCTCTCTTCTCCCCACTCCTCTTCTAACCCCTCGTTTGCCGCGTTCGCCGGCGCCCCACCCCTACGGCCTTGGCTCCCCCCATCCCCCCACCAATAACAGGCGCGGTAGGCGTGGTCCGGGCAGCCTGCGCAAAGTACCGCCGGCCGCGTCACAAGTGCGCGGACTCTCGCATGGTTGTCATGTGTACCCCGACGTACCGCAGCATCGGCATGCGCGACGCCCATCACTGACGACGTACTACGTTGATTTAAGTTGGTTTTTTCGCGCGGTATTTTTGAGTCGTTGTTGTTGGTTCTGTTAACATTTTTTTGTTTGTCGGGGTTGTTCGGGGTATATTGAAAGAAAAAAACTTGTTTGTTGGTGTGGATTGGTAGTAGTGATGGTGGTAGTTTGAGGTGAGGACGTCGAGGCCGCAAGACGACGCCGTCCGTCGGCGTAGTGGTGGTTAAGGTGTCCGCGGAGGGTGGACGCGAGGTCCGTTCCTCGGGGTTGTCGTCGCTGCAGGTGCCGATGGGGGTGTTCGAGGACGCGGGCAGGCGAGTCTCGCACGGAATGCACTGGGTGAGTCGCCTGCTTATCTTGTTTCATACGCTTTTTCTTTACAGGATTTTTTTAAGTCTTAAGAGTCCATTTCACTAGTCCGAAAAAGTAGCAAAATAAGCATTTGACATTTAACATTTTATGTCAAACAAAAGATAACAAAGACAACTTTTTTATATTTAAGATTTTGATGGTCGCAAACATCGACAAAATATTCCTTATGTTTGGACTAATTTTTTTCGAAAACAAAGACATGATTTAAAATTCCCTTACTATACCGAAATAGATTGAAGTTTTGTCATTACAGTGAATGACAGTGATATATAATTTATATGGTTTTGTAACAAATTGCTCGCTATTTTATGCTGAAGCTCTGCAAACCTTAATCAAAGCACGTGTGTTTGGAATTTTGGATATGGCTTAACACGACAGGATCGAGCTAATCCTTAGGCAGATTTCTGAAATATAATATATTATATGTGTAAATATAATATAATATATTATATGTGGCCGAAGGAGATAATACAGCATAATAGGCTCTTAAACAACTACAGCATTCTATTCTTGTTAGAACGTTAAAAGCGTGCATATCATAATCGCATAAATTATATTTCTTTGTGAATGACCGAGAAAACTTTTCATTTTCTTAGACCATGAATTAAACAGTGTGCTAAAATTTGCTAAAATTTAATATTGAGGACATGAAGACATCTTTATTACATCAGAACAGCAAACTTATTCACGTTAATATCTTTATTTCTATAGTAAAGTAAAATACTAATTCACTTTTCCACGCACCACAATAGATCTGAAAAAATGGTATCATCATCAGCAGATGATTAAAATTTTTAAATCGTCCATTGAAACAATGAATATGTTTTGTCATTTGAATTTAAATCTTTGAGTTTTAATCATCTGCTGATGATGCTAACATGGATATAGTTCAATATTAAAAGTAAAGAGTTTTGGTTGTTTTATCTTACCCTGGTAACATCGAAGTTTCCAACCTCAACTACAATTTATTTCAATGATCAGTTAAATGTTAATTTTGTCATTCCTGTGCATTCCAAAATAAATTTTGTTAATGAAATTAGTTAGGAGTTAATGAAATTAAAGGAGTTAATGAAATTAGTTATAAACCACTTGATTCTGTTTACTTTCAATAAAGGGTGTGTCTTCAGCAATTAGATTGTGTCATAATCATCATCATCATTTTCAGCTTATTCGTCCATTTCCAATTATGGTGTAGTCTCCCTCACATATTTAGATACTCTCTTTTTAGTTGAGCCCATTGTTGTCTATGCGGGTCCAAGTTATCACTGTTAATTTCCTAATATCATGGTCCCATCTCAGGTTCGGTATTCTTCTAGGTCTCTTAATTCATTTTGGGCACTATGCTGTAATTTTTTTTGTTCATCTGTTGGCCGTTCTCCTTACCAGGTGTCCTGTCCATTGCCATTTGAGGGATTTGACTCTGCGGATGACATCTATTACCTGGGTCTGTTGTCGTATCCACTAAATTATTTTACGGTATCTCTTGGTTATTCCCAGCATGTTTCGTCCCATTGAGCATTGTGCGACCTGCAATTTCCTTATGGTGTTCATTTTAAGTGTCCAGGTTTCGCATGCATAGGTCATGACTGGTGATACACATTGGCCGAATCTTCTTTAGATAGAGTGGCATTCTAGATTTAAATATGATTGAGTTTCTTCCATAAGTACTCCATTCCAACTGTTTCTTCTGTTGATTATTTCTGGTAGTAGGAGATTCCGAGCTGTCTAAAAGTAGTATATACCGATTAGTAATCAATAATGTAGATCACAATGAACATCAATGTTTTACTTTCTGTGTTTGAATCTGTTCAATCTGTTGTGAAAAGAACCTTCATTATCGATCTTCAATTACTAAAACATTTCATTCATTCAAATAGGAAATTTATTTTAGATACTGCGCTTGTTATAAAGAACGTATAATAGCATGTGGTATAGACATCTTAACATTTACAACTGGATGTTCTAGCAACATTATTACTGATTTATTTTTAAATAAAGGCGAGAGATTTAGAAAAACAAATTATTAAATTTTGTCCAAAGTATTGGGACAGCAGCTTATTAGAAATATAATTATTATGAAAACAGTGGATGAACACGATCTTATTTGCGATTAGGATAGAAGGAACAGTCAAATATATCTAAAAAACTCCACCGGATAGTGTCAGCTTAGAATAAAGATCAGTAGAAACTATTGCGTGAGACTTAAGCTTCATTTAGAACCTCGAAATCAGTGGAATAAATTAGTAGTTTCAATTAGTCGTAGAAGTTTGTTCACCTAATTTTAATGTAAGCATTCAGAAATTCATAATTATTGGTAGTAATTTTCAATTAGTGGAAAAAGTTAACAAACATTTGACTTTTCCACTAATTATACTTCAAAATTTGCGAAGAATGTCATTTTGGCCTTTGATTATCACCTGTCAAGAAAAATATTGATTAGAAGTCAAAAGTTTATTGTTTTATAAGCTAAATACTATGTATGCTTTCTCTATGGATACAACAGACTACCGCAAGCTGTTACTAGGATATCTTATTAATTTTAATTGTGTTTTTTAGACATTGTGAATGATTGTAAACTAAAAAGTATAAAGTGTAATTGAAACCACTAATTTGTTCCATTAATTGGGAGGTTCTGAATGAAGCTTTATGAACAACAACGAACGTTGTCTCTTTGATCAAATTATGATTTCTTATGTAGAGTCAGAATAGATATTGCATGTAACGAGTGCAACACTATTGCCTGTAGTGAAAAAAATAGTTTCTCGAAAGGGTTGTCCTTAGAGTAACTAAATTTCTTCCTAAAAAATAATTCTAATAAACTGAAATATCGAAAGTGTCTTACGGGCATGATGACTGGATTAATATTTATTAAAAACATTGAGCATACGACATTAAAATTTAATAATCAAAAACTGCAAATTTGATAATAACAGAGAATTACCTACCTATAATATATTTTTTTCACTGTCGATGTTGATATATAAAATATTTTGCCCTACAGAATGATGTGTGCAATGTGGGAAATCTTATGTTAAATGGCGGGTTAAAAACCTGGTGGGTTGTAGGGAAATAGCTTCCTTTACTGACAATTTAAATTTTATTATACAAAAACTCTTGTACTAAGTAATAAGGAACTTCCAAATCAAAAATTTTTGTTCGATTGTAATATTTTGATGTGGAACATATTAGAATTAAATATGAGACCAATATTTTTGTTTAATAAATAAGTGAAAAGTTCCTCGCGCGATTGAAGTTCATAATCTTTCTCTTTGATTAAAACTGCACCAGCGTTTCAAATTTGATGTCGATCAAAGATATGAATAATTAATATCATTCTCCGAAAGGCTATCCGATACTCCAGATAGACAAACATCAAACCAGTATTATTTTAATATCAAGATAAAGTTAATAGCTTTCACTTCTTACGAATGCAGATATACGTTACGATTAAATATTTTCAGAGCAAGATAGTAGGTCTATAATAGTTATAGATAATATTATTTTAAATATACATATGGTAGGAAATTGTCAATAAATCTCTTTATTAGAATATTTTGAAATTTCACATTTATTATTGGGTGAATTTGTTATCATATACAGAGATAGGTACAGTATTGATTATGTTCTTTTAATATTTAACGTTAGAATTCATTATTGATAAAATATTAGAACCAAAAGGTTCTAATATTATAGGTTATCTCTATATTATAGGTTATCTCTTCAAGTTCTTTCTCTCCAATAAAAACATTTTCTTAAATACATCCCCTGATTTTTCTTGTAGTGCTGCAATTTGCCTAGGTTTATTACGGATTTATCTTCATACAAAAAAATGTCACCAAATATCATATAATAATTATTGTAATACTTTTGCTTTTTCAATATTCTTTAATTATGACGAGTCTATTATTTTTTGATTTGTAAAATTTTCCGAAAATGGTTTGGTCTCTTACTTTTATCTATTGTCATGAAATCCATCTTGATTCGTCCAACTAGGAAATTGGAAACTTTATTTTGCTATTTCGGCAGAGAAAGTTACCATAGTTTTTTCAAATAGTTTAGCAGTTTACTGTTATAACCGTATACTAATGCATTGCTCGGGATCTATATACTACCAGAAATCAACTGAAGGATTAAGTTACCATGAAGTACTTATGGAAGAACCTCAATCATGTTCAAATCTAGATTGCCACTCTATCTAAAGAAGAAAACATTCTACCAGTGTGTACTACCAGTCATGCGAAACCTGGATACTTAAAACGGACATCATAAGGAAACTGCAGGTCGCACAACGTTTAATGGAACGAAATATGCTGGGAATAACCAAGAGAGACCGTAAAAGAATAGAGTGGATACGACAAAATACCCAGGTAATTGAATCCACAGAATTGTCCACAGAATCCAATCCTCAAGTGGCAATGGGCAGGACACCTGCCAAGAAGGACGAACAACAGATGGACCACAAAAATTACAACATGGGAGGAATCCCACGAGGAATTAAGAGACCTAGAAGAAGACCAAACCTGAGAAGGGACCATGATATTAGGAAATTAGCAGGGATAACTTGGGCCCGCAGAGCCGACAATAGAAAACAATGGGCCCAAGTAAAAACAAGGTATGTAAGGGAGGCTACACCATACTTGGAAATGTTGAATAAGCTGAAAATGATGATGATAACCTTATACTCCCAAGTTTAAATTACTTAAATGTAAACTCATTTAAAACAAGGTATAAAAAGCATTTATTAGAACCGCAGAATGGAAATTGATAATATTGCTGTTGAATCTTGTTATTAATTTGTCTTTGTCTCTGTATGTATGTATTTATGTTACGTTAATTTTTGTTATATAACGCTTATACCCTAATTTCATAAATAGATATATTAATGTTATCTGTATCGGTCGCGATGGAAACATTATAGCGAGAAAGGCACGCATATAAAAGCGTTGAAGAGTTGGGACGGATAGAGA